TAAACATCCCTGGGCACTATGGGCAATTTAGTATGGCCAATCCACCTACCCTGCACATCTTTGGACTGTGGGAGGAAACCAGAGCACCTGGAGGAAACCCATGCAGCACTGGGAGAATGCGCAAACTCCACAGACAGTCGCCCAAAGCTGGAATCGAACCCAGGTCCATAGTGCTGTGAGGCAGCAGTGCTAACCACTGAGCCACCGTGCCACCCCAAGTTTAAGTGGAAATAGTACCAGTATCTGAGGTTCCTTCTCATAATTGTACTTTGTCATCGAGATGAATCTACAATTTTAATGCATTTCTTATAATGTGGCAACTCAAACAATACAAAGCATTATACATGTGGCCTAACCATTATCTTGTACAGATTTGTTATATCTTCCTTCCTTTAATAGTTTATGTTTCTGATTAGAAAATGAAAAATATCACTGGTCGTCTTATGACTTCTATCTCACTGCATTTCAACTTTCAGAATTTTGTATATCATAATCTGTAGGTTTCTGGATTCATCCAGCATCCTTTAGGATCAGTCCATGTGAGTTTTATTCTATGCCTCATTCTGCCTTAATTGCAGCGGGACAGGGGGACAGAGTCTTGGTGTACACTTTGTACAAAAACAACAATGTGTGTCTTTGACCAATTAAATTGAAGAATCCTGCTGATACACACAGGACTGAATTCCAGTAGGAGTTGGCCCACCACTTGATCCAAACGTGGCCCAAACCCATGTGGAAGGTCATTAGGATCTTGGGCAGGATGTTATCAGTTGTGACTAGTTGTGAGACTGCAGCCAACACTGCCGTCTATTTGACAGGAGTCCACCTTTTTTTACTCATTCATGGGATGATGGCATCGCCCATCCCTAATTGCTCAAAGGGCAGTTGCTGTGGGTCTGGAGTCATTTGGTAAGGATGGCAGTTTCCTTCCCTGAAGGATGTTAGTGAACCAGATGGATTTTTCCTGACAATCGACAATGGATTCATGTCATCATTAGAAATATGAAAACGTAGAAAATAAGTGCAGAAGTAGGCCATTTGGTCCTTCAAGCCTACACCACCATTCAGTACGATCATGGCTGATCATGCAATCACAATATCCCATTCCTGCCCTATCTCCATACCCCTTGATCCTTTTAGTCACACCCAACTCTCTCTGGAACATATCTAACAAACTGTTCCCAACAGCTTCCTGTGGGAGAGAATTCCACAGGTTCACAACTCTGAGTGAAGAAATTCTTCCTTATCTCAGTCCTGAATGGCTTACCCCTTGTTCTTAGACTGTGACCCACCCCTAGTTCTGGACTTCCCCAACATTGAGAATATTCTTCTTGCATCTGTCCAGTCTCATCAGGATTTTATATGTTTCTATGAGATTCTCCCCCCCAGTTCTTTTAAATTCCAGTGAGTACAAGCCTAGGTGATGCAGTCTTTCTTCATATGTCAGTCCTGCCATCGCAGGAATCAGTCTGGTGAACCTTTGCTGGACTCTTCATTCCAGATTTTTTGTTATTTTGAGTTCAAATTCCACCATCTGCTGTGGCAGGATTCGAACCTGGGTCCCCAGAGCATTACCTGAGTCTCTGGATTAACAATCCAGTGATAATACCACTATACTATCACTTTTGCCCCCACCCCCACCCCCAAATCTCTGAGGAGCCTGAGGCTCAGCAGTTATGGGGGTTTAATTGGCTATCCATTTCCTGTCAATTAGCAGCCATGTACAATTGCTCCATCCGTGAGGAATAGCCATGGCTGCAGGAAGACATCTGGTTCTTTCTGATGCCTTGTGCCACTATTTTTCAAGGCTCCCCTACTTCAAGCCCTTCTCTTAGATACCTGGTAAAATAAGTTCCATGTTAATTCATACACAGTAAGCAGGATGAAGAGAATGAGAAAGGGGAAAAAGACCGACAAAAGTTTTTTAAAAGTTATAATTTTGTCAAAATTCATTAAACTTTGAAGGATTCAGATTCCCATCTGTGGTAAAGTAAGTTTTCAGTGCCGACAATCAATTCAACTTGAATGGACAAGTTCTAGTTTTTCCTGGAATGTTTATTGGATATCTAATGGGTAAATATCCTTCATAATGCCAAGTGCCTTCTCAAGGAAATCTTGTGCAGGAGCAGGACAAATCAACAACAACATTCTGATTTCTGCACCTATTTGTACAACTGTGGATGCTAGAAGTTACTGTCTGCTTCATCTGTAATAGCATTGAGTGTTGGTAGCCTCACATCTTATTAACACTAAATTCAGGCCGTGACTAATCTTTCTTAACACTACTTACAAGCAAGCAGGAATGCAGTTTGAAACCTTGACGATCACCCACTCGGCAGTGGAAATTGAGTTAATTTGATTTGTAGATGGAAGAAGTAGTGGACACTCTCTTCTTTCATTCAATTAACTAAGCAGATCTGCAATCAATGGGATAATGCAGTAGGTACCACAAGTTATTGGCAAGAGTCACCATGTAAATGATAAGCAACCCATTCTCTTGTTTATGAAACAATTCGCTAGACTTAGTTGATTATACCAGAGAAAATGCAAACTTTCAGGTAACAAATAAAACTGTGGAAAACAAAATAGGTCAGAAAAAGCAGAGTGTATTAGTACACTAACAAACTTAATGATGCTTGACTTAGAGGAATTTTAACTGTTCGTAAACTGCAATACTTACTTTGGTAGCAGTTCTTAAAATGAATATGTTAGTCTCCAAGAACTGAAAAGTATTCTGGAGCTGATTTTTTAATTCCAATTATGAACATTAACATTTATATGACTGTGACATTGGTCGCTTTGCACATTAAATGAGTATTAAATTTAAGAAGTCTCTGGGTTGGCTCAGTGAGGCGAAAAAGTTCTTGACCAGTTTTCATTGCTGAAGTATCAGCATCTGTGATGAATTTAAAGTAGTTTTTTCAAATACACTTTGTACTTTACAAATGCTTGGTTCCACCCTACCCCTACTGCTTTATGCAAAACAGTTATGTATAGGTTGAATGAATGGGCAAAAATTTGGCAGGTGGAGTAAAATGTGGGAAAATGTGAAGTTGTACACTTCAGTGGGAATAATAAAAAAAATTACATAAGTGGAGAATGACTCGAATTCTGTGGTATTGAAGGATTTGGATGCTCTAGAGTATGAGGCACAGAAAGTTACAGTATGTAATCAAGAGGCTAGTAGGAGAGTATCTTTTATTATGAGCGGAATTGAAAATAAAAGCAAGGGCATTATGCCTCAGTCATACAGGGTATTGGCGAAATCACATCTCGAATACTATGTACAGCTTTGGTTTCCATATTTAAGTTGGTTCAAAGGAGGGTTACTAGATTAATACCTGGAAAGAATGGGTTGTCTTATGAAGAGAGGTTGGGCTTATTTCCACTGAAAGTTAGAGGAGTGAGGAATGACTTGATTGAAGTGTACAAGATCTTGAATGGTCTTGTAGACCAGACCAGAACAAGGGGCCATTGTTTTAAAATTAGAAATGAGAAAATGTTCTTCACAAAATGTTGTACAGCTTCAAATTCTTTGCCTCAGAAGGTAGTGGAAACTTAGTCATTGAATATTTTAAAGGTTGGGAAGATAAATTCTTGACAGACAAGGGAATGAAAAGTTATTGAAAGTAAAATGATTGAAATGAAACACAAATAGATCAGCCATGATCTTACTTGAATGGCAGATTAGGCTTGAGGGGCTGAATGGCCTATGTTCTTATTTCATATGTTCATAAGATGCATATACAGGCTGTATACACTTAGCAATAACCTGAGAGTGCTCACTGACCTTATGTAGTTTTTAATAATATGTTACAAAATCTTGAACAGCAAAATATGTTGGATAATTTGTTTATGTTCTGTGGCATAGAGGCTATGCTGTCTATTAAAGGTCAGGAGCATTTATGATGGAAATCGCTTATGAAAACATGTTACATTGTAACAATAACCTTGATTGTGTCTGTAGAATTCTGAATCAAAAAATAGCCCATGGCTCTGTGAATGATTGTAGCCCTTAAAAAAGATAATGTGGATGTGAAAAGATAACAAGAGCTACAAGAGCAGTTCAGAGACTAGGAATTCTGCAGCGAGTAACTACCTCTTGACTCCCCAGTTCTGTCCGTTATCAGGAGTGTGATGGAACACTGTCCACTTGCCTGAATGAGTGCCGCTTCAGCAACACTGAAGTAGTTCAACACTATCCAGGAAAAGCAGCCCACTTGATTGCCACTGCAACTACCACCTTCAACATTCACTCTCATCAACACCGATGGCAACAGTGTGTACCATCTCTGAAATGCATTGCAATAACTCACCAATCCTCCTTTGACAGCATCTTCCAAACCCACAATTTGCATCATGAAGAAGGTTGAGAGCAGCAGATATATAAGAAGACCACCATCTTCAAGTTCACCTCCAAGCCATGGCTTGGAAATATGTCATGTTCCTTTACTGTTGCTGGGTCAAAATCTTGAAATTTCCTCCCTGTCTCTTTACCACATGGATTGCAGTGGTTCAAGAAGGCAGATCACCACTTCTCCAGGGCAATAAATACTGGCCCAGCCAGCAATACTTACATCCCAGGAACAAGTGAAAAAGGGGGTTGACAGCTAAATGCTTTCAATATAAAGGCCAATATATGCTTTAAGTAGGATATTTTGTTTGAACGTGAAATTCCGAAATCAAAATTGTGTATGTTAAATAAGTTTTTTTACAAAACTCATTTTCATATTGTTTGAAATGTTATGACATGCTTCTGCTCTTTTTCCTTCCTCTTTGAAATAGTATTTGCAAATATTTTCGCAAGAATGTACAAGCAGTCAGAAGGACATTCCATTGTAAGATGAAAACTTGGAGATGCAAGACAATGTAGAGCTTGATTAATTGGAGCCAGTTTACTGTAATGGCATACATTGTATCTGCAATTGTGGCTTAGCTTCTAACTTTTCTGCTTATTTTCCTGGTCTTTGTTCATTGTGGTTATATCCTTTCTCCAGAAGATGCTGAATATGGTGACCTTGTCAGTGGATTCTATATAGGTGAGCAAATAGATACAGCGCATGCTAGTCCTTTGTCTTTTCTTTATTTTCAGTTTCTTTTTCTACAGTGATGCATCAAAATGATAGATTGTTTGACTCATCTTTATGTTTAGTTTGAGTGTTAAAATTTGTTTTGTGAATTGTAGCTAAGTTTCTCAATTTATGTTTAAATTTAATATTTCCGCCAAACACCAGCACGACATCTGAGTCCAGCTGTCAAATACTGGCAATAAAAGTTCAAATTCAACTGTATGATAACCTTTATTTACAGCAATGCATTGTAAGCATATGCAGTTGTACTGAACTCCTAGCTGCTTGCGGTTGTGTACTGTGTGATTGATGTTGATCTTTCAAATGAAAAATTATCAACCAAATCAAGTGCAAATCAGTGGAGTCAAATGTGACCTGAATTTCCAATTATGTATGATGTTGCCGATCTGTGATCTCAAAGGCAAAGAATTGCATAATACCTCGGGTTTGACTTGGCTTTGTTGTTGCTGCACCATTATCTCATATGGAGCCATACAGCACGGAAACAGACCCTTTGGTCCAATTCATCTGTGCTGACCAGACACCCCAATATAATATAATCCAGGTGCATTTAGCAATTTCCTAGGTGACATTTAATACCAGGAAGCAAATTATTGTGGATGCTAGAAATCTGAAATAAGAACAGCAAATGCTGATAAATATTCTGCAGATCAGACAGCATCTGTTGATGCAAATTGTATCTATTCTAAGTGTTTTTCAGTTTTTTAAAATGTGTTTTTCTTTATAATGCCATGAAGATTTAAAATTATTTTGCATGTACAAATTACGTCTGTTTTAGGATTGAAATATAATCACTTCCTGTAAAAGGGAGGAGGAGGATAATGATACTCAGTGGGATTCGCTTCTACACTCAGTGCTCATGGAAGTCTTAACAATATTAGCAAAAGCCATTACAGCTCAAATAATCTGTCCCAGGAGCAGCAGTACATGTGTTTAGCAAAAGATAAGCACATTAAAATTCCCACTTAGAGTACATACATCCTCATAATATTCCATACAATGTAGATGCTTTGTCTAACTGATCTTGTGTTATCAAAGTTTTTAGAAAAACATTGTATGAGAACTAGAAGGATTTTAAAAGCTAAATTTGTTTGCAGGCACATAAGGGAAGTAGTGCACCATGGATCTGTGTGCATAAATTTGGCATATAACATGGATGTGAAGATTTAGATATAATGGTACACATTTCATAAAGATGTTTGTTTTAACATTGGGTTTTAAATTGGTGTAACAGTTTTTCTTGTGGGATATTGCTGAATAGAAGATGGTATTCTTATCATTAAGATAATGTTTATTTTGGTATGCTTCCTGCACTGGGGACTGGATTTTAATCATTGAGATAGGAATCAGGAATTTGCCCAATGTTGTGATCCATTCTCTGGCCTGGCAGCACTGGCTTGTAGGGTTTTCATCCATGGGAGATATGTGCAATCTGGAGTTGAACGTAGATTTGAGGTTGAGATGGAAGTGGGGAGATGTGAAGTGGCCAAGTTAATAGGCTGTCTTCCGTCTGCAGAGACTCTCGTCCAATTCTACAGATCATTATAAACGCTCCTTCAACATTCTTCTTCACCACTTCACTGCTCAGTACTCCTTTGAGCCCTCTCATCTGTCTGTGCCCCTTTATGTTTCCTTCCCCCGCCCTCGTCCTTCCTGTCCCTCCTTTCACACTAACCTACCCCCTAACCCTCTCCACCTCATTACTTCTTGATCGATCAACAGCCCATCTACACAAAACGCAGTTGCCACCAGCACTGTTACGCTGGGAACAGCCTTAATTATTTCAAGATGCGACTCTCATCCCATCTGGGTCAAAGTCCTGCCTTGGGGAATTACTGGTCCATTTAATTGACCAGCAGCTCTACAGTACTAGCAGCAGCCATTTTGAGTAGTGGGCATTCGGGGGCCTATAGGCAATCTCAGAATATAAGGCTATGTCACAGGTTTCAAGACAGGCCTGACTAGCAGTGAGAGGATTAAGGGAGATGGGGTGCTGAGTTTAAGAGGCCAGGGGATGATATCCGAATATCATCCATTATTTATTCATCACGTTACATCCAATTCGCATTAACGAAACATGCGTTAAAGCAGAACCACGTGTACCCTGTATATAAGATGGCACCAAAGCGAAACGTTACACACTTTTCACTGCTCTCATTTGAGTATATGTGACAATAAAGGCTAATTCAGTTCAATACCTCCAATGTTATATTGGTTACCTGTACCCAGCAGCAGCGTGTGAAAGATCAAGGACTTGTGCCTTCAACTAATGCAGGTCATAAATCAAGTACTATTAACTTGACTGAACCAAACTATTGTATCGTGTGGAGTTATTCATCAGAATATTCAGCTGATATCTTTCCAGTGTCCATCTGTATCATCTTCTTGCGCTTCCCTCTAGCCAAATAATCGTGCGCGAAACAATTTAGCATCACGCAGTGCAAACACTGCTTTCTTCATACTGAACAGCCCTTATTCTCCTTTGCATGATTTCTTCCACAGTGTATGCATTCTGCCCTTAGTTTGTGATTATTTGGCCCTTTGGGCCTGGACATCTATCAGCATAATGCAAGACTGATCTGTTCTATAGTGAATATGCTGCAGGTGCTGATTTACAAGCTCAGCACTTCTGCACATGTCAGTTGCTTTCGTGAGAGTAAGTTGCTCTTCTCTTAGTAGAAATGCAGTCACTGCAGGATCTCTTATGCTG